ATCGCATAGTAGACAAACCAGAAAACTTCTTTTGACAAAATGTTGCCGTCACGAGGGGGTCGTCTTGACAATGTAAACATTGACGGATAAAAGAGCGATTCGACAAAGTATGATGATTATGAGCTCATCAATCAACTGAGACTTCATTTAAATGTGATACTCAAAGGCCCCCTGATAATTGTGTTGACTTGGTCCTACCGCTTCAAAAGCTACCGTCTACGAGTTAGAAATAGTGTCGTATTCATATTCTCATTATAACTTGATTCATGGAGCATTCGATCTATATCTCAAGCAGAATGATGTATAAAGGATGAGTGGACAGTAGTTCGGTAACTTTGTCTACTTCATGGTACCGCCGTTTCCGGCTGACATTTTGTAGAAGGTGGAGAAAGTGACTCCACCGGGAGTTAACTCACGGCTTATGCTATAAAAAAAAGAGAGAAAAAGATAAATGTTGGAGGGAGCATGGTAGAGAGAGAGATGTAAGTAGAGAGGTAGAGGTAGGGAGAGAAAGAGAGAGAGAGAGAGAGAGAGAGAGAGAGAGAGAGAGAGAGAGAGAGAGAGAGAGAGGGGGGGGGGGGGGGGAGATGAAAAAGTAATTTCGTCGTAGTTTTCGTTGCAAACATGCGCACGCCATTAATGCCAGTGCCCCTCTCCCAAACCCTCTCCCCATCAAACCCTCACGGTGCCATTGCAAGTTACCACTCACAGTGGCTCTAAACTTTCAAAAATGGAGTGCTGTCTCATTAAAAGTACAAATACTTTCTAATGATTGTTCCATCATTAATATGTTTTTTATTTAAACGTATGTAATCAATGATTTTTTTGTATACCTATTTACTTTAAGAAAAATTGAACAAAGACTAAATTTGAAGAAAAAGAAGCAAACAAAAAGAAACATATAAAGTACTTGTAACCCATCGAAAGTTTGAGATACAACACGTACAGCACACCCCTCGTGAAAAGAAAATGCAAAATAAGATTAGCTTCAGATACATCCAAGAAAATTACCAGAGGAATAATGAAGATATTGCGATGAAGAGGAATTTGTGATGTATGCCAGCTAGCCACGCCAGCGGAAACCAAGACCTAAAGCCTTTGAGCAATAATTGAATCGCAGCGTACCAACGCCGTGACGCGATAAAAGAAAAACCAAGCTACTTTCGAGCCTTTCCCTGTGATATCTCTATAAAATGATTGATAAAGTCGAGGTTGCGTCTGGAAGGATTGTCGCAGACATGATTGGTATCTTACATTCAAATTTGACAAGATAGCATGACCGACATGTATGCTTTGCAATTATCTGCCTGATAATCATATTAGACATTTCCCAACGCTTTAATATCTATTGAACGCAACACTGACTCGTGAGGGAGAAGGAAGCGTTCGTATTTGTGAGTTTGGTGTGAGTGTAAAAAGTACAAACGTGTTTAATCTAGTCATTCGTCAATATAGATTGGCAATTTCGGATGTTTGTGGAAGGATTTCCTTTTGAAATGAGCTTATTGAATTATATGACTGAAAATTAGATTCATAATATTGTACTATGCAGAATTAGTTGTGCAGTCGTAGATAGTGCATTCGTGCAGTCATGGAAAGGCGATAATTCTTAACCGTTGTTGAACCCAGTCATGTATGGTATAGCGAAATCATCGATATATTGCATAATACAAATGCTTTCAGATAATCAAATGCACATTATTCACAATTTGAACTGTTAAAAAATATTCTTTCTATTTTTTTCATTATTTCCGATATATTAATTTAAAGATATTTAATTTTGTTCCATATTTGTTTGTCAACGATATTGTGTTAATTATACCTGTATTTTGACAACATGCAAGGAATCGCTCAAAAGCAGTTCGTGTTTAATAATTTTGCATTTTCACCGAGAATAAATAAATGTGATACCATACTATTAAATACTGCCACGAAACATGTATTGAGTCGAAAGATGAATTTAGTTCAGTTTTTTTTTCTACAACAATGTATGGCTGCACGAAACAGTTTTCTACAAATTATTGTTTAAATTTTTATTTAAACTAACATTGCGTATTATTTCATTTCGCGGCATGAATTAGTAACTCAAGTGAATTTCGACCATTTGCGAATCCCATGAAAGATTAATGCTTCAAAGCTTCATCTCCATGTTTTATGATGTATTGTAATTCTTAATGCTTTACTTTTGTGTGTCAATGGAGAAGAAAGATATGAAGAAACAGAAGAAAAACACGATCAAGACGTGAAAGACGGAAAATGAAAAGAGAGAGAGAAAAAAAAGGAGATAGAGAGAGAGAGAGAGAGAGAGAGAAAGAAAGAGAAAGAGAGATAGAGAGAGAGAGAATGAGAGAGAGAGAGAGAGAGAAACAAAAGGAGAGAGAGAGAGAGAAACAAAAGGAGTATTATTTGAAACTGAAAGCAGAAATACCAACGGTTAACGAGCATATAACTTTAATCTTGTTATTAAATACTATAATGCATCTTTCCGAATCCGTAATTGGAAAAACGATTTTTCCTCCAATTGAACTGATCCTGTTCATAACTAGGTGAGGTTAAGCTGTATGGAATTCATTATACTTCACCGCAACCACCTAATTCACCGTCATACTTTAGCTTATAATAACGGTGCCATCGGATCGGGGTCGCATCGTTTGATTTTTAATGGGATTCCCCCAAACTAAGCCTTTCACTACACAAGCTCAAACAAAAATTGGACCTCTAGGGAAAATTAAGCTTTGTAAACATCCCTTTAGTGGTCAAACTTGAACAACATAGGAGACATAATAGCCCAGGGCATAACTGAGGTACTGGTACATGTAGGGTATTGTTGTGTAAAAATGAATATAATAATAATTATGGAAACATCAACAGCTAACAACGAAACTTTTAATACCCTTACCGAGTATGGGAATTTTTAAAGTATGTGAAAAATTGATTTTTTCCGATTTATGTTTCTTGAGAATGTGAATTAGAGCTTATATTTAAAAGGTTTCAACAAAGGCCCTTATTTATCCAGTCCAACTTTCACGCTCGAGTTACGAAAAACACACGTATCAAAATTACAAGGGGTATGAATATTTAGATGTTTACTGTATATATTTACGCTACTTCTGTATACATGTTGGTGTTTCTCCTATGATACTGACAAAAAGCCAACAGTTCTTGGTATTGCAGTAAATTTTTCAAATTTCATCTCATGCAAATTACTCTAATGACAGCATCTTCAGACAATTTAAAATAAACCAAGGGAGAGGGGTGATGTCCTCAGCTCCCATCACCCACCTCGTATTAAAAGCTTATTATTGGATATCCCCCGAGTAAATCTTTAACTACATGAAGTAATCTAGGTATTTGAGAAAAAATGATTATAATTATTAACAATTATATTCCACATACTAAGTATCTTGCTCTACGATTGGTCAAACGTAAAACACGTGATGAAAGATAGTTCGCCCATCATTGATGGGAGAAGAAAAGTTCGTTGCACTGTGTAGATAGTAGTACTATCTATCAATTTCGGAGAATAACCTATACTGAACAAAAGTCAATTTTTAATTATAAATAAAATCTTCACATTTGTCTGGAGTAATCGGAATTATTTTTTTTGACAGCATCTGTATAAATAATCCTTAACAATCTTGGGGTATGGGATCAAAAAGGCAGCATTATCTTCATAAATAAATGAACTAATCATTGTCAGAAGCGTATTATCATTTCCACTGTACATCCTGCAGAAAGCATGCTTCAGTTATCAAATCTACCATCATCCCATGCAAATTCACATTACATTGGTTTTCAATCCATTTATGATGACCATTGTACATGTTTTCGCTTGTCTGGGTTTTTATTCATTTTTTATTCATTTATGCATGAAATTTATATTGGGCAGCACATTTGCACCAAAAGTGGTTGTCTTCCATGAGGCACTGTTTGGTGAAAACAAAATGTAATAATAATCATGAATATATAATAATTATGAATTCAGAATCGTAAAAGAAAAAGGTTTATACATGATATACATGTTAAAACATTTTTTTTGTATTTCCTCGTAATCAATGTGGAATTTTTCAACAAAATGCAGTTGCGTATTTGTAGTGTCGTATGAGTATTATTAAGGGCGGATATGAGAGTTTCCTTGCACTATCGCAAAAGTCAGCATTTCTGGCATCGCCCACGGGAAACAAATGTAATTCTCTTACAATATTTCATTCATTTCATTCAAGGTTGCTATGAATTCAGAATATGAACCTTGAAATCCACGTCATCTTCTACACTGCAGTATGATTCCAAACGTTCAAACCTCTGCCATGCTAGAAAAGCATAGAAAAGAACAAGAATCAACATTTTGATAACATTTTGATAAGATAATGATGTTAAAATACAATCATTGTTTGGACCGTAATCATAATAATCTCTAAAGTAACCAATAAACTTATCTTAATCCTTGTACTACTGTCTGCGCATGCCCGATAATTACCTGCCAGGCAGCGAACCGACTCCTAATACTATCTCATTTTGTTTGTCGTTTGCAGAAGATGCGCATCGTGACAGGACGTGTGTGTTCGCCCTCGTATCTCGTTGACTGCAATGAAGCGGAATTAATACGACCACTTGTTCGAGGCCTTTAAAAATGGAATTATTTCCTCGGATCCTGCTCATTTTCGCCGTCGACATGGAAAGCCACGTTTATCAACTCCGGGCGATAATGTGAATTTGCCATTTCTTATCGATGGCCTGGCATTCGTGTAATCGCGTGCCTTTTTAACTTTTTATTAGGAATTGTGCCTGTGTGTGACGGAATTTTCGTACTCGGCCGATCGTTGCCGCGCCATGCAGTTATGGCGGGCGTGGGGCGACACAAATTTCAATGTCGTCTGCTAAAGCAATCACCGACGTCGCTTCTCCTCCTTCTTTTCGCGGGATTATCGCACCTTTTCTTTGCTGGAGCAGATGATTTCACCACCATTAATCCCTTCGATTCGACAATCATCCAAACCACCATGGTGACGGGGCTTGCGAATGGGACCGCCGTGACTGCGGCAGCCTTACCCCAGAGTTACAGGCGGGAAGGCGACTACGTTCTCGGTGGGCTTTTTGATCTTCACGACTCTCAGGATGGCGAGTGTGGAGAGTTTAACCCTCGAGGTCTCAAGTGGATGCATGCTATGGTCTTTGCCATCGATCAGATTAACGCCAGGGATGACATTCTACCTAACATCACACTCGGTGAGTACCCATGGCGCCTTAACTAATCAGTGTAAAAAGAAAACAAATTGTTCGCGGGAGCTAGTTTGGGATAGCTTCAGTATAAAAAGTAACGTTGAGTTAAAAGTTAGTTTTTGAATCTGTGGATCATGCATATCCGCTTGTCCTATATTTTACCAAATCCGTGTATTTTGTCGCTGGCTTTCATGTTTTTAATACCATAACATGTATATAGGCGTATCGGTCTAAAGATCTGTGTGAACTTGTCTAATTGTACTTTTTTTCTGTTGGTTGTCTTAAGATAGATTTACCATTCTCGAGTAATAAGTATTATGAGAAACGACTTTCGAAGTTTGTGTGTAGCGCAACGTATTTATTACCAATAAAAACCCGACAAAGCTGCATGAATAACATTACTGATATAGTTTAATTCAGCGAAAAAACATTTAGATTTCATTTCTATATGCAATAATCGTAAATTCGTACTCACATTCCACACATCCGTAACGAGCGATGATAAATGCAAACAATGTTTCATTTACAACTCCAATCAAGCAGAGATATGATAAAAGATAAATGATTACCAGACCAAGTTTGGAGGTTATTATACACCCTACATTCTTTCGGTTAGATTATTGAATTGTGTGGTTTATGTACATTAAAAAAACACCGAAAACAGCATTTCCAGGTAATTAACATTGACAGTCAACATGACTGAATTGCCGAGACTGATATTTTTTGATATTCATAGAAACACATTACTAAACCAACCAAATTTACAGTTTGAAGGTAATATGAGTGTTAGATTACTGATAATGGTAAATGTATAAATACAAAGAGTAGAAATATATCTCGATAACAAGGCAGTTTAGTGTTAATTTGAAAGAGTACATGTATTGCGTATTGTGTATTATGCTATTCTACAGAAGCACATATTCTAAACAGGGTTTATCATTTACAATTGCAAAATGCCAGTCCTGATTTTGCTAAAAATATAACAGCAAACATGAATTATTGAGCTATAAACAGTCCGTTTTACTGAATTATGCAAAGGGTATACAGCTATAAAAACAAATTAATAATTTAGTCAACAAAGTCAACAAATTCATTCCGAAAATGTCGACAGAAATTATGAAGGTTTGTGAAGGTTCTTCTCTAACTTGTGGAGAAACCACATTTAACTGCTAAATAACTCATGCTTTTGATTTGTTGATTGTGCATTAAAAATTGCTGCATATAAAATAAAAACTCTGTCGTACGTTTGGCGTGATTTCTACACGACATTTTTTCAATGGTTCACTGTTTTTGAAAAGTGCCACAGTCGTCATTTGAAAGCAATGCACGATAAAAAAAGAATAATTGACAATAATAATATGGATGATTAAGCATGACAATAACGGTATTGGATAAAGTTGACATAACCACTCGATTCCATGGATGACTGCGGTTCAATGCTACCATCCACTAGATGAGACTCATGCCAATGACGTAAAATTGTTTGCAACTGTGACATTCTATTTTTCGATTTTCCCTTTAATTTCTTCCTTTGTCGATGTGACTTAGTGAGTTGAATGTAGGACACAATAGGACAAATCTCTAAACTGTAAGCCCCTATCCCCTCAAAGAAAGGGGTGCTTACATTTTAGGAACTTTTATATTTATATGAAAATCTGTGACAAGCTAAAAGATACCTGTCGAGAATTTCGTCGGGGGTTTGGGGTGACTAAGGGGGGGGGGGGGGGCACGAGGATCCGTCACTAATAATATAATTAGCAGGAAATTATAGATTTTGTGTTTTGATCTAGACTTTAAACAAGAGTAAACGACGAGGAGCAGAACGTTCATAATTCAAAGTTTTTTGTTCTTTATTTTGCAACTACATTGATTCTTCTACTCTTGTGTATAACACTATCCAGTTACCGGCATCATATGAGAGATGCAGGCGTTAAAAGAATAGCATCAAACAAGCTAAACAACTGTATAATCCATCAAACTGACTCCTAGCCAGTTAAATATTCAATATCATATACTCGGTTGAATGTTTTCATAATCAATTTACTGGATATAATATATCAACATTTTCAAGGTGAATAGAACAATCAGCCTTTCGCATGTTGGATATCTTTTCGCGCCATTTTCATGGTCGCCCCATTTTCTTTTATCCGAGGGAGATTATATTCCATGGTTTCGAATAAATTGAAAATTCAAATGTTTTATTTTTATTTTGAGTAAGGAATGGGGCTTTATGCTATGGGGACTGACATAATTTTCCACCCATCCATCTATCACTCCTCTCAACGTTTATCGTAGGCCATGAGAACAAAGAATAAGTCAGCGATCCAGTCACGTTTTACATTATTTCACACAGGTTTGATCGACATGTATAGTTTCCCAAACAGTGGTCGCGTTTTTGCTCTTAAATTTGTGTCAAGCGTGCATGACAAAAAGCAGCCTAATTTAATTTTAGTCCAGCCATATTCTGACATTTTAAAACATATCAGTAATATCACACATGAATGTGATAGCTTGACTTGCACATTAATGACTAAAATAGATGTACTTGTGTTTATCGTGATGGGGGAGATGGGTAATAATCGAACTGAGTGACGTAGCTTTAAAGGGGCACGGGGGCGGGGCGCCTTTACTCCCCCATTGAACAGAGGAAATTATAAGGAAGGAAAATGAGAGAGATAGAGAGAGAGAAAGAGATAGTGAGTGAGTGAGAGAGCGAGAGAGAGAGAGAGAGAGAGAGCGAGACAACGATATTATATATATATATATATATATATATATATATACAGAGAGAGAGAGAGAGAAAGATTATCTAGAGGAGAGATGAACGTAAAAGCGAGATGTTATGCCCCTTTCCCGCTTCCTTCCCTTATCGGTGACCTAGCTTGCTAACTCGGATTTCAAAATAGATACCTCCCACTCCATGATGCTGGTGCCCTTCCGATAATTGAGGGTACTATACCAAGGACTGAGACCAAGCGAACATCATTCTAGAAACACATTTCGCATACGATACAAATTTGTATGTAAATGATTGTAACTTTATTTTTTTATTTTTTTTATTGAAATATATTTAATCAGGATATCAAGAATCGGATATACATTGTAGATACAAAATCTGTTTTACATCATGGTCCTGAACAGGATAAAAACACGGAAATATAAATAACGAATATCACCAAAGCTCACAGGCAAAGGTAAGAACAGTATAAAACTAACATATAAGCATAATACGCATTAAAAATAGTAAAAAGCACAACAAAACAAAAAAAACAAACAAAAACGACAATGAAATAAATGAAATTAACAGCGGAAAAAATATCAAATCACATTTAATAAAAGGCATTAAAATATCACCCTAAAAATAGAAGAGGAGAGAAGATATAAGGAAACTGGTAAAAAGTAAAGGAGGAAAGAGGGAAAGAAAGAAAGAGGGGAGAGGGAAAGAAAGAAAGAAAGAGGGGAGAGGGAAATGGAGAGAGAGAGAGAAAGAGAGAGAGAGAGAGAGAGAGAGAGAGAGAGAGAGAGATAAGCCATGTCAAAGCAGTAAATGAATCGGCATTGTATTACACAGGTTTAAAAAATTTGTCCTTGTACATACGTTTAAAAACATCGATAGATTTAGCATTTTGAAAAGCAGAAGGTAGACTATTCCAGATTTTACCTCCAGCGTATCTAAAACAATTCTTAAAACATTCAAGATTAGGCTTAGGTAAAACAACATTCAGCGTATTGGCAAGTCTAGTGTTAAAACCATGTCTGTCAAAAACCATTTCCACTTCATTGCATAATCGTACTGGGGCTTTTCCATGAATACAGTTGTACATTATACATGATAAAAAATAGTCCCGTCTAGTGTCAATGGATTGCCATTTTAATGAATTTATTATACTCAAGCTATTTACATTATAATCAAAATTCCCTACGACAATACGTGCAGCTCTTTTTTGCAGTCTTAAAAGAATATTTCTGTTTTGTAAAGAACAGTTTCCCCATACGGAACAAGAATAATCTAAGATTGGCTGTATGGTACATTTGTATATTTTATTTAAAATGGAAGAGCTTAAAAATTTACTGAGCTTTCTCAAAGTAAAAATCTTATAACTTTGATTTGGTAAGAGATTTAATGTGGATATCCCAAGATAATCTATCATCAATTTCAATCCCTAAATATCTGATACTTCTTACTTGTTCTATTGTTTCAGTTATCAATATGCACCTTCAGACTTAATTCATCGTTACATCGTGTGTTACTACTCAACAGCATAACATTACTCTTATTAGTATTAATACGTAATCTATTTTTACAATACCATTCATTTATAGCATACAAATCTGCTTGGAGCTTAGATGTAATGACATTAATATCCATATCAGAAACATATAAGACAACATCATCAGCGTATATATTACATGTACTTAATCGTAAGCAATCAGTTATATCATTTATAAAAACAAGAAAGAGTGAGGGGCCTAAAACACTCCCCTGAGGAATTCCTATAGTTATGTCCTTTGATTCGGACAGTTTACCATGACAATAAACTGCTTGTTTCCGACCAGATAAAAAGCTAGAAAACCATTTAAGTTCAGTATTTAAAATACCATACTTATTCAATTTGGACAACAAAAGTTCATGGTCAATACAATCAAAACATTTAGAAATACCAAGAAAACATGCACCAACTTTTTCCTTTTCATTAAAAGATTCGTACCAATCATCAATGACTCTATGTAAACATGTATTCGTTGAATGATTTGGCAAAAAAGCATATTGGTCAACACTAATAAGATGATTAGTCTGCAAGTAAGATAAAAATTGAGACTGAACTTCCTTTTCAAGCAGTTTAGCAATATGACATACAACTGAGATGGGTCTATAATTTGAAATATTATTTTTTATCGCCTTTACCTTTATAAACAGGCGTAGTTCTGGCCAATTTCCAATCATTAGGTAAAAATCCACAATTTAAACTTTCATTAAAAAGACAATTAAGAGAAATATTAATATA